TCTTCTACTCTTTGAAGTGGTTCAATTATTTTACTTCAAATAAGATTTACTATAATACACTTGGGAGACTTTAAGTAATTACTTAATAAGAGAAGGCGCTGATTAAGACAGATGTTTTTATTGCTAACTCACTGATAAAAACAAAACAAAAAATGTTCTATCTATGAGTGCATGGGATGCACATGTGCATATAATTAGCGCTCCAGCATTTATCGTATGCATGTACTTGTGTGTGTGTGCTCTATATACTGTGTGTATATGCTGCACATGTATATGGTATGCATGTTAGTGTGCACTACCCATGTTAGGGAGCATGACTCTAACTTGTACATTCATACAGCGTTTATAACGGCATCAGTAAGCACTTTGCTGAGGGCGCCACACTGAGCACCTCACTTATACCCCGCTGTCAGGAGGAAGCCTTCACTCCTTGGGAGGGAGGCTTAGGGCTGTGAGCCCCCCGGAGGTCAGAGGGCCTCTGGGGTCCCACTCCTCACCCACAGTTCCTGACACCAGGTCCACGTGCTGCGGCGTGCACAGTGCACGCGGTGGTGGCACGCTCTTTCACTGGAACACACTTCCTTGGACTTGTTCAGTGTACATGGACACCGCAGCTGTCCTGCAATCCCACTCTGTGTCCCATCGGTAAGTGTCACACGCAGTCACGATGGCTTCGTCACTGCCTGCAAATTCAGGCCCATTGTAGAAAAAAAGAATGCTAAACTAGAATAATATCATGTTACTGCCTAATAATTGACATAAAGCCTTATAAAATACCAATTATGCTTCAGGAATTTCACTGAATCCTTTCAATCACGCAGAAGGTTAGTGGGATAAGCCTGAAGTATGGTTACTAACCCATCCTTGTGCCTGTCCCATGAAGCCTGGGGACTAACCCGACTTTGCTCGTGTGAAGGCAGAGGCGAGAGCTGCTCTCACCCTGCAGACCCTCGGCTGGGTCTCTGCCGGGTGGCACACAGCCCTGCCTCGGTCTGTTCTGCAGCTACCACTGAGGAAAGGCACTGCCTGGGCATGTCGAGGGCTTGGAGGCCCCAGGTCAGAGTGCGCAGGGCTGGCAGTAACCCCTTGAGGAGCTGAGGTCGCTCAGCACGGGCCTAGTGCTATGGGCCGCACTGGCACTGCAGTGGCTCTGGAAGGGTCGTGCCCGCAGCAGGACCCAGTGCTCAGCGGTTGCTCCCCACAACCCCAGCCCTGCAGCCACCAACTGCTCTCTGTCTGCGGATTTGCCTCTTCTGGGGCACGTGTGAGCAGCCTGGTGAGGGCATGGCTGCTGGAGTCTGGCTTTTCTCCCCTGGCAGCACGTGGAGACTCATCCCTCCCTGGTCCCTGCCGTCTCCACGGCCTGCAGGAGCCCTGAGCCCTGCTCCAAGGAATCACTAGGGAGAGCGAGCTAAAACCGACTTCCCCAGCCTCCAGGGAGATGCCGGGAGGCCCTGCCCAGCTTGGGGGAACAAGGCAGCCCGCAGGAGGCAGAGGCGACTCTGGCTGAGCTTACGGGACAGGACGGGAGATTGCAGGTGCCATCGAGGAGGGCAATGGCATCGTCATCTCCTTGACCTCCAGAAGGAGACGGTCACGGCTTCATTCCTGATGAGGATTCATGGGGCGTCACCACCCACAGCAGGGGACCCGGCTAGGTGACATTTCAAAGTCATTCACAAAAAAACTGCACAGAATTTGTGAAGACACGAGACTGAGTGTTTCGGTTCTCACATCAATAGTTTAAAGCTAAACCCAATGGCGATTTGTGAAAAGGGGCAGGTGACATCATGACAGAAAAAATAAGGAAAAGAAACACAGTTAATGGCATTGTTTATAATTTATGATACAGAGGAAAAGCTTGACTCATTTTTCTGGATCTTATTTTTGTTTACTGGTGGTAATTCTACTTAGGTGAAACAAACTGAAACTTCTGATTACAAAATAATGTCAGTGTTTTAGAGAACATCTTGTATTCCCCCAAGAAGAAAGAAAATAAAATATATTCATTAGCGTTGCCTTGGCTTAAGAACTTAATTTGGTCATGATTCTGGTCCTGAGCAGAATCAATTTTCCCCATAAGGATCAACATCTCTTGATGCAGAGCCCATGAATAGAAGCAAGATTTTGCCAAATACTTTGGTTTGCTAACCTAATTGTTCATGAAAGGAAACATTTGTGAACCAAAGTATTACTGTATTTCCTTAATTTCAAACTCAATATAAATAACCCACAGGAAATTTAAATCTGGGAAGATTTTAAATAGAGTGAACTCCCAAATCTTTTGATGTGATATACCCCAAGCTTTGAAACCGGAGTCCTGATCCTTGTGCTGCAGGCAGACTCCACAGATGCAGTACGGCGTGGAAGCAGGCGCTGCTTTGGGAGGTATGTGCATCTCTTTACCCAGGGGCTGACCAAAATGCTTTCTTCTGGGCGCTGATGCAGAACCTGAGGTTCACAGTCAGGAAAGGGAGCGTTGTGGCTTTCACTGGAGCAGACAATGGTGGTGCGTGTTCCACAGACACCGTGAGAGTTACTCTCTCCACTTGCAGGGAGCCATTAAAGAGGTGATCACATAAACCAGATAGCACAGGGACAGATATGTTGCATTCCATTTACATCGATGACCCAAATCCAGGAAGAAGCCTTCACACTTTCTGGACTTGGGATCAGCTCTGGGCCTGCAGCTGAGCTGCGGAGAGTTCTCCAGCAAAACACACCCTAAAAGTTCACACCCCGAGTCATTTTTACCATTAAGTCCTGTAAATTCGGGCCAGGGCAGCCGCATGACTTTGGGGTTTCCACCTGCCTTTACCTTCATGGGCCTTTCTTTCATTAAAAAAAAAAGTTACACATATTTTACAGCTGTGCTGACTGGGAGCTGACTCTGCTGCAGGCTGGCTACACTGTATGCACTCACTTTGTCATGTTCGGTCACTGCCGACTTCACAGGAATGGAGTGAAACCATCTTCTCGGCCCCTTGGAGTCACATGGGCCGGAAATCCGTGTCTCCTGCTCCTCAAGGACACCTCGGCTCAAGTCCGTCACCCACATCAGTACAGATGGCAAGCAGGGAGGAGACGGCCCCAGGGGCCCAAGCAAGAGTGCATGATGTGACCCGAAACGCGGTCACATGGAGAAGCTTTCACTCACAGAGCAGGAGAAGCTGAGTCAACAGAGACAGGGCACGGCCCGGGCGGCCGGAGGACAGATGGGTGCATGACGTCAGCACACAGGGGAGAAGTCACTCACTGGTGCCAGGTCAACGGATGAGAGGGAGAGCGGTTCAGAGGAGCAGACTTTGCAAGGGCGTGAGGAGAAGCAGCCGTGATACTAGGGGGCATCGCACGACACCGTTCTTAAGGATTTTACATCCGTGAGTATGACTTCCCTGTGTGTTGGCCCTCAATATTTCATTCAAATGTTCTTTCTTTATCGCTCATTCCTACGAAAGACAGAGGCATACTTGTAAGTGCAATTAAAATGTGACTTCGAGCGAGCTGCAACCGTGTTTCCATCTTGTTCTCAGCAGACTGTCCGGAATGCTTTGCATCTGTAAAAACCGGAAGGATCACTTCGAGGGAGACTGGTTCATACTCATCTTCAGGTCCTTTACATTGTGACGTCTTGGTCAAAACGTTCTTGCCACCTACCACATTTGGGACAGTTAGTTCCCTAGTAATAGATACTGAAGAGATGGTCCATTTGAGCAGAAAGTGAAATCAGCAGTTCAATACTATTTTTGGCTTGGCTTCAAAGTCACGTGCTCCTTTCTCTAAAACTGGCACCAATCACAGTAGCAGCTGTTAGCACTTTGAAATAACCTTCCAGATATTTTTAGTGTTTTTTCTGCAAAAATACCAACGTTCCAAGAAAAGGAACCCAGACCCAGGAGACTTTCCGAGATACTGAAGTCAGGCAGTGACTTAAGCGACTAATTCCCCAGACCTCGTGCTAAGAAACCCATTTCCAGTGAAGACGGCGCAGCCACCAGGGAGCTGAGCCATCACGAGGGTACAGAAGTCGAGGACGGAGTGCGCGCTGGCTGGGCACGCCCAGGAGCTCCTGCTCCAGGAAGGTCCACGTGATGGAGGAGAAGCAGCCTGGGAGAGACAGGGTTTGAGGACGCAGTTGCTGCTCACTGAGGCCTGGGCTCTTTTCTCCGATTAGAATAATTTCAAGCCTCCCCTCCGGATCTGGAACGTGCTTGGCTTCTCTCCTGCTGGGCCTCTGCTATGAAGCCTCCCTTGGCCATTCCCTTTCCTCTGACCTCTTTTCCTCCATGTGGTCCAGGGCATCAGTCACTGTCTCTTTACTGGGACACAAAACCCAAACCTACAACTTAAAGGAGCAGAGCTTTACTCTGGCCCCCAGTTTCAGGGGGTGCAGTCCACGGTCCCTGACTCCGTGATGGAGGAAGGGTATTCAGTTCATGGTGGATGGGAAGCAGAGCAGGGGGCAGGAAAGAGGGGTAGCAGCATAGGCAGCACCCTAGGGCGCCTCTATGACCCGCCAGGCACGCCTGTGCGCTCCGGTTTCCTAATCTACCTGAGCCAGTGTTCCGAGTTAATGATTCCACCAGCCCCCTATGCCACCTCGCCTCAGCACCTTGCATGTATCCAATCCATGATCTTTGCTCACGGCTAGAAAAGAGAGGAAAACAGAAAGGGTTTTAGCGAGTCCTCTAACCCTGGACACTCAACTTCTCTAAGCAGCTCTGCCTGTTCTGAGCAAGGGGGCAGAACCGCCACTCTGAAAACTTGAAGGATTCAGAGGATGCAACTAAAGTGCCTCCCATAGGCCTTGCTGCGTGGCAGGTCTTCAGTCACGGGCAGCTTTGGGCTTTATGTCCACCACACACAGCACACACTGCTGACCGCTCAGGCGAGCAGATCTAGCCCTGGGTCTCGGGCCTTCGTGACTCTGCACTAAGTTATTGGTCTGGTGACCAAAAGCTTTTTGCTAGAGCCCTTTACATTTCAGTAACCAGATCAACTCTGATCCTGGCTGGACCCCGCGGCTCATTCTGACTTTGGTCTCAGGGTTCTAAGGTCCCGGGTGCAGAGGGAAGCTCTGAGAGTGCGGAGGCTGAGTCTCAACACGGTGAGGCCAGCAGCACGAGAGCCACGGATGCGCGTGTGAGTGAGTGGGTGAGGGTCCTCTTCAGCAAAGAGCGGCTCCCTTTCCTTTACTTCCCTTTGGGTTACTGACGGATCTCTGTGCTCTCAAAATTAACCTTTGCACATTCTTACATACTGATTGATGCATCTTAACTTATTTCATTGTTTTCATCAATTTAGAAGAAGTGGTAAAACGCGGAGGAAGATCACTGGGGAGATCCAGACTCCAGAAACCTCCCTGCAAAGCCCCTGCCTGCACCCAGGCAGGCACCACCGGACACAAGAGCGGGCTCTGTGTGCTGGCTCCACAAGGCGCCTGATTCATGAAAGCCCTACAGGAATTTAATTAGCGAAGGAATGCATGAGGCTTAAGAGCTTCGGATGTCATTAACTGCCGGGAGGGGAGAGGGAGGAGAGGAAAGCTAACAGATGTCGGATTCAGCCGTGTTCCTGTGGAACAGACCGTTGCTGCGCTGTTTTTTCTGTTTGGGTGACTTTTAGGTAAATCTTGCTAATGATACTTCATTCTTTCGGGAGCCTGGTTTAATGCAGATCTGATTTAAAGAGAAGAGAAATGCACATTTTGCCTCCTTCAGGGAAACCGGCCAACTTTTTAAAAAAATCTGATTATTTCTGTTTGCCTCCCCAAAGTCACTGTTTCAGCAAGAGTGACCATGGACCACAAGCAGAAGCACATCGGTCTTCGGCTCCAGAAAGTTAGACGGTGGTCGGCCTGAGAAGGAGCTGCCGGCTTCAGGTTTGATTCTCTGAAAGTTCAGTAGCCCTTTTCTCCTTCTGAATCAGGCTTTGGGTGTAGGGAAGACTTCCTGGGACTGTCAGCCAAGCACCAGCCCTGGGCAGCTTCTGGTCCTGGATTGACCTCAGAGCCCCAAGGCTGCCAGAGAAGACTTGAGCTGGACAAGTCAGCTGAAGTGGATTTGGCATTGACTGCTCTTCCACCAAAATGAAAGATGCATTTTTATAAACAGGGGTGAACGTCCAGACTCAGTGTTGTCAGAGAATCAAGAAATGCAAGCGCTTCCAGGCTGGGTTCCCGTCCCGCCGCCCGCTCCATGCATAGCCTGCTCGGTGCTGCTGATGTCTGAGGACCCTCGATTCTGCGTGACAGGAGAGGAAGTGAAGACACGGCCCAGTCCTGCTCCACAGCCACGTGTGGGCTCCGGCCTGCTCTTGAGTATTCTGAAGAGCGCGCTGCTTCTCCGCACAAGTGTGGGGTAATGGTGCTCGCTGCTGATTGCTGCCCGCCCTCAATCACTCTCTTTGTAATGCCAAGCACTCAAGGAAGAGGGAGGAAATCAGCAGCCGGGCTCCTCTCCGGGCACCTTGATTGCTGGACCTCTGCACTCGGGACACTGCGCCCTCTGCCATTGTCCGCAGGCTCCTTCGCCCCTTTCCACATTTAACCCTCCCAGTATGGCAGAAGTGACACCTAGGGGAACCGATCTGAGCAGGGAGACGTTTCCTGATAGTCGGATGTGACACTAGATGTTTTGGTCACCTAGTTATGTTATTTTCACAGCCTTTTCCTATCTACTTAAAAACTTACCTTGCATGTGTTTAATTTACTTTTTTATTCAGCCACCCTTTGTTGAATGCTTCATCTGTAAGATACAGCTCCTATATGCAATTAAGATGGCAAGCAGAAAAGAGAGAGAGAGAGGAAGGGGGAGGGAGGGAGAGAGAGAGGGAGAGAGAGGAAGAGAGAGGGAGAGAGCGGGCTGCACAGGGAGGGCCGCCAGCCGCTGTCAGGTCCAGGTCTCTGTGTACACTTGTGCTGGTCACCCCGGCAAAGAGGGTGCACACCAGCCTGAACTGCTTCCCAGTGGAACAAGGGAGTCTTTCCCTAAATGTCATGAAGGTATTTCCCATGTCAGCGGTGAGCCATCAGGACACCTGCATCCTTTAGGTAGCAGTTTCGTGTTTCTGCACTGCAATGCTTGAACCGTCAGCATGGGACAAGACGCTCACTCGGCTCAGCATCCTGGGAACAGAGGGGTGTGGCTGTCACCGAGCCTGTGGCCAGGTCTACAGACGGCGGCCAGACTCGCTCCATGCTTCATGCTACGCATGGACACTGGTGACACCTCTGCCCCATGACAGAGGCCGCAGGGCGCCGGCCGAGCGCTCCGGAAGGTGAGCAAAGCGAGCAGACTCACCGCTCCTACAGCCAGTGGCACAGATTTAAGAGTGTGCAGACTTCTAGGCATAATTCGTAGCGAATCCTCCCTCAGTAAACACCTTACACCAATATTTCCTGAACAACTGAAGAAGAGCCAGGATCAGGGCACCTTCCTGAAGAAAGTGTTAAATATAAAGTGGGCTTTGGCTTGTTTTTATCCAGTGTTTAAAACACGGGCCAGGTGCAGTGGCACATGCCTGCGGGCCCTGCTACTTAGGAGGCTGAGACAGGAGATTCTCCTGAGCCCACAAGTTTGAAACCTTCTTGAGCAACATAGCATAACCTGGTTTCAAAACAAAATAAAGTATGCAACCTCAGTTTTTCCATTTTTAAAGAATTCCTCTATTCTTTGAAGGCATTACAGATTGTCTGCTAGCCACGTCTAGCATGAAGCTTTACAATGAGCAATACCCACCATGGAAATCTGGAGGGGCGAGGCTGGCGTGACCACCATCTATCTCTATGTCTGAAGATCTCAGCTGACTCTGGGATCTTACCTGGAAGGCAAAGCCTGTGTCTGCAGTTGTGCAAAGAAACCTCCAGAGACCAGATCTGGACAACATACCCGCACGCAGGAGTGTCCCCATGAACATGGGACTCAAGGTGGCTGTCTCAAGCTGGCCCTCAACTCAGGAGCAGGGTGGACCCCTGAGAAGGGGGCCTGCTGCCCTGGCTGAGGACCAGCATGGGGTGGAGCCCACCCTACTGCCTGGTGTCTCTCAGAGATCTCTTCATGTGATGTGTGTGTTCCCAAGCTCTACTGGGTGTGTAATTCATTGCTCACTGATGTAGCTGAGTAGAAAAACCAATATTCACAAGCCTTTGCAGGAAACCAGACTCTGTTGAACTAGAGGGCTCTTGTGAGCAGGTGGACCAAGGTGTTTACTGGGGGTCTCCATCCCCCCCATGATGTTCCCTCGGAGGACCCAGTTACCTCAGAGCCCTTGCTCTCCATCTTGGGGGCCACTGAGCAACTCCTCTTTGTTTCTGAGGTGGACTCAGCCCCTCTTGGAGTGGTTGGCACTGCCTGCCTGCCCAGTGTCACACTCTGACCCACCTCCTGAGCCCCAGAGATCCGTGGGCTTTGCCAACTCTCTCACGCGTCATATGGGCGGGTCCTGTGGCCCCACCTCCACCGTCGCTCCCCATCCTACTTTCTCTGTCCCTTCTCAGTTCCTGTTCCTCTGCTTCACCCGGCCTGAGATCTGCGGCCACGTAGAGAGCTCTGTGATTCCTGTGCACGACTGTCCCCACCCCATGGTGGGCACCCTGGGACAACCGCTAACCAAGGAGTCACTACTGCTGGAATCCTGTGTCCTTCAAAGTGTCCTGCAAGGCGAGGCCAGCAGAGCAGAGTGGCACGGTCAGCACTGAGCTCCAGAGGGCGCACCACCCACCCCTTGCTCCATGGGTTCGCACCACTTGTGTGCAGACTGTGGAACTGCCCCTCGGCCCAGTACCCAAGTGGGACGGTGGCTCGGCTTCCTCTGCCCTTCTGGGCCCTCTGCTGGGTCACAGCTACCCAGGCCTCTCTACGGCTCTGTGCCACTGCTGGGCAGCTCCCAAGGGTGCTGCTTCTGTGGCCTGAGAGCTTGCATAGGGTGCTCCATAGTCCTTCCATCTCCAAAACCCTCATGGTCACCTGCAGCCAGCAGGACAACGACAGGCCCACACAGGGCCTGGCGAGTCTCTGTGGCTGGGACCGGTGGGCGGTGAGCTAACACTGTTAGCTCTAGAGACAGAGCCCCACACCCAGCTGGAGCCCAGACCCGTGGTCAGGAAGCCTTGCCAAGCACACGGGGTCCTCCGGCCAACAACGTCCCAATTCTTGTGCTCAGCTCCATGGCCCATGGGGCATCCTCTCTCCTGCTGCAGGACATCTGAGTGACCACCGAGAGCATTCTGGCTGCCAGCTCCTTGTCATTCCTGAGGACAAATAGCTGGGGCTGCCACGGGGCTGGGAGCTGTCAGTGTGGCTTGAAGTCTCAGACAGCCCCTCGTCTAGTATCCACCATCAGTGATGAGAGCGAGGTTCATTCTGCTGAAGTCGTAGCACCCACACCTGTCCCCAGCAGGACCCACGCCTCTCCTGCGCTCAGAGCCAGCAGAAACGTTGCATCTGAGAAATGGGGGCGCCCTGGATTAACAGCGCTTTTTCTTCAGGAGCCTTTCACAAAGGGCGAGAAGAGATTCTGCTGCCTCTTCCAGGGTCAGCCCCTGATAGATATTTCCACAGAGTGTTTAGTAGGATCAAATTAAGGAAGGTTGAGCATAGTAGCTCTGGAGGAGTAAATGTGGGGTGAGTTCCTGGCTCCCCAGGAGCTGGACAGCCACCTCCTCAGTTGTGGATCTCAGGTTCTGTGGGGCCCAGGGGGAGGGAGTCTCAGGACCCCCAAGCCTTGGTCCGATCAACTGCTCAATTTTTGCCTCTCCAAAAAATAAATAAATAAATAACAGTTGAGTGCGTAGGCAAAGGAGATTATGAAACTGGGTTGCTGTGTTTAAATAAAGGACATCTGTGTATCCAGAGTTGTCTCAGGACGGTTTTCCCGGAGCGGGCACATGATTCAGTGATCTTGTAAGTCCTCCCTGACCCCAGCATCCCTCAATTCCGCCTCCTTGCCGGATCCTCCTCCTCAGCCCCCGAGTGTACCGGTTACCATGGAAACAGTAATGTCCTTGCTGTGGACAGAACTTAATCACAGCCAAAAGGGTGGGCTAAAGTACATTTTGATCTCAGGCTGAAATTTGTATGATGATTCATGGACTGGAAAAGAGGAAGTAGGAGAAGAAAGGCAGGAGGGGAAGAGGCAGTGGACTGGACGGCACCCACGCAGGCGTGCGTGCATGTGTATGTGTGTGTGTGTGTGTGTGTGTGTGTGTGTGTGCATCTGGGTGTGTGTCTGTGTATATCTGGGTGTGCGTGTCTATGTGTGTGTGTCTCTGTGTGTGTGTTTCTGTGTCTGTGTGTGTACCCTCGAAACCTCTCCAGAAAGGATCGTGGCTGAGACCCACAGCACCCCATCCTGTTCTCAGCCAGGTGGGGCAGCTCTAGGTCTTGGTGGTCACAGTACACTGGACGACAGCTGCCCACTGGGCAGCAGGTTCTGGGGACCTGGCCCAGAACATCTCCCCGAGCACTGAGCCAGGGTGCCCTCCCAGGTGGACTGGCAGGGAGCAGTTCACACAGGTCCTTACAGGAGGGAGCGGCTGACCAGGGCCCGCAGCATTCTGGGAGAGCTCTGCTCAGGCCCCTTCGCAGCACTGCCTGCAGCTGAGGCTGGCACTGCTGATCCCTGTCACCTCTCTCTAGGCCCCAGCCCTGCTGATGCCCGACTGCTTCCTTTTCTGAGCACCCCAAGAAGCTGCACAGGCCTGAGTTTGAGGCTTATGACATCAGAACCCCTTGGCAAACGATGCAGACTCCTGAATTTAGATCCGTACAGGGCCTCACATCTCACGGCTTCCAGGCACACTGCGCCTGCAGCTGTTGTCTGATTTAATCTTTGAAGCAACGCCACAAGGGACGGAAGAAGGCTGAGGCTCGATGAGCCGCATCAAAATGTCTTAAAAATTAATAAAAATTTACTAATCTCTGGGCTCCGCGGTGCTCCCCTGGGATTCCCACGAGGGCTCGTCGGGATCATCGCTGGGTCGTCACTGGCAGAATCAATCCCGCTTTGCCACATGACCTCTATTTCTCCTTCCATCCAAGCGGCGGATGGAGCTGGATTTCCGGTGGGGCTGGAGCGCTGGCGATGGTACAGCACATCTGCTTGCCAGCAACAGATGGTCTCCTGCAGTGCCTCGAAGCTCCAGCACCAGCTGGGCGGGAAACACAGGGGTCAGGCGCCCGCCCACAGCTCTGGTGGAGAGGCGGCACTCTGCAAAGCAGCGGGGAAGCACTTTCTGGAGCCCTCTGGGTCCCGCTGGGCTGTGTGGGTCCCATCAGAACACCGGGCCCAGCCGTCCTTCTGTTTCCCTGTGGAATTAGCAGTGTGTCCGGCCTGTCATTCATAGTCAGTCGGTTTGGGGTAAACAAGTGCACTCCATGGGCTAGATCTCATCTCCATGGGGACGACACTGGACCACACCCCACTCATTCGCCCCAAGTCTCAGCCTGAAACCATCATCCCGAGGGGGACCAGAGATCTCTAAAACCATTAACACCCTGAGGAGCCAGAAGTCCCCTGAAGCTGGGTGCACCCCCTCCCCGTGCTGGGCAGGCCAGGTGGGAGCGAGGTGTCCGGGTGGACTGGGCCCCTGCCCCGGGGTCTCGCACGCTGGCTGCCTGGGATACGCGGCCTATTTTATAAGCATGAGTGCCTCGTAGCTTCCTGTGCTTCCTCTGCTGTTTCTCCTCTGCTCTCTCTGGATGCTTG